GCGGCCTTGCCGCTGCTGCCGGCGGCGCCCGCGCCCGCGGCCGCGGCCGCGGCCGCCGCGGCGGGCTTCCCCGCCGGCTGCAGCTGCTGCCTGCTGCTGCTGCCCCCCCCGCTGCTGCTGCTGCTGCTGCTGCTGCTGCTGCTGCTGCTGCTGCTGGGGAGGCAGCAAGTCATGCAGTAGTAGAGGTACATGAGGGCGTGGACGGCCAAGTTCATGACGACGAAGCCGTGGGCAAAGCCGACGTTGGTCTGCTGCGCCGACCAGCAGTAGAGAGTCACGCTGAGGTGGTGGTAAAGGTGCAAAAAAGAAAGCGGTTTTTTCTTGAAGACCAAAATGAAAGTGTCTCCGAACTCGACAGCTTTAGTTAAAGTGAAGAGGGCGACGACGACGCGGACGGGGGGCTTGAAGAGGCGCTCGGGGTGTACAGACACCGCAAGCAGCGCAGGCTGCTGCAGCACCACCGTCAGAAACCCCACAAAAGACAGCACTGACAAGCCCAAGTTCCAGCAGAAGGCGAAGCTGCGCAGCAGCAGCGGGGGCCGCCCCGCCATGAACTTCCGCAGCAAATAAACTGCCGGCAAGTACAGCAGGCAAGTCCAGATGATGTGGGGTTTGAGGCGGGCGGCCAGGGCCCGGCCGGCCCCGGGGCCCCACAGTTCTTCGGGAAACAGCAGCGCCAGCAGCCTGCACAGCGGCCGGTAGCTCACTGCGCACACCACTGCAGCAACTGCTGCTGCTGCTGCTGCTGCAGTCAGCGCGCTCGAACCCGACGCTGCCCCGCTCTTCCCCAACGCCGTCATCTTCGCAGCAGCAGCAGCAGCAGCAGCTACGCCACCTGCAGCAGCAACGCCCGCTCGCGCCGCGCCCTCCGCACGAACAAACGCCCCTCAGATCGAACGCTCCGCTGCGCAGCCAGCCCTGCTGCTGCTGCTGCTGCTGCTGCTGCTGCTGCTTTGCTGCTGAGAAGCCTCCGGCGAAGCTCCCGGCGCCGCGGCGCTGCGCCCTCCCGACTCCCTCCGGCTGCGGCCTCGGCCCGCGCGGTGCCGCCTCTCCACCGAGAAGCAGCAGCTCCTGCTGCGCGTGCACTGGCTTGTCGGGCCGCAGCAGCTGCAGCAGAAGCAGCAGCAGCAGCAACGCCTACGCGAGCGGCAGCAACACCCACGCCAGCCCACCCAGTGGGGCACCGCGAAGACACAGCGCGAAAAGGCTACAACCGAATTCAACCCGCACAGCTGTGGGGCGCAGCCGTACAGACACAGAACAACAAACTTATGCTACTAAGACAAGGGCGGCAGCGGCAGCGGCAGCCGCAGCTACGCGCAGACGCCCGCAGCGAGCAGCAGCAGCGGGGCGAGTCACACAGTCTCAGTGGCCCCACGAGCCGAAAGAAAATGAAAAAATTCCGGAAAACCCTCTTTACAAACAAATAAAAACCGTCCTAATGCAAAAATCGTAAAGGAAGACACGCCATGACACGTGCTCTCTTCTCATGCGCCCCCCTCTCAACTGCTGCCAGCAGCAGCAGAGCAACACCGCAGCTGCGCACAATAGGCTTATGCGGGTGGTGTTCGCTTTTTAAGCAACAAAATAACCAAACAAACTGCTTCACATACTAAACACTTTAGTTATGAATTACCTTTTCAAAATAATAGCGTTTCCTCTCCTCCAAAGAAGATCAAGTGCCGCCCGCCGCCCCCCAAAGTGCACCGGTCTTAGCCGCCGTGGGGGCGTTTCCGCGTCTGCACAGCGCTTGACTGGAGGACAACCCCACCAAAACACACAAGGTGTGCTGCTTTACATTTAAAATAGCTGTCTAATGGGAAACTTGCACATAGACCCTCCTCAAAATGGCCCCTGACACCTGCAGCCTCAAGGAGCGGTGGCCGTCCACACACGCACCCTCGCCTTCAACTGTACAAATGCCTGCTGAAGCAGCCCACACAACTTTCACTTCGACTTTGTTTTCCACTTTCTTTAGTCTGCATGCAGAAATAACGGGTGAACTCCAGTGCTTCAGTCCTTACTGCAAACTCCAGCCAGCAAAGCTTCAGCTGTTTACTACACACTGCGCTTCACTTGAGGATGCAGCAGCAGCTGTGATTGCCAAGGCCTTTCCCACGTTGTTCCAAGACAGAACTACTTTTTTTGCAATGTCTTGAGTACTGTTAATTCATTTAAGGCCTTGTGTAGCCGCGTCTAGCACTGCACGCCCAGTGTATCGACTTGTTCACCCTAGGGCCAAAGTGTCGGGCTGTTATTTAGGGTATTCCCTCTAACAAAGCTAGCAAACAAAACTAGCAGAAAGCTATATGAAGGTGTCTAAGCGATATTGCAATTGTTAGATAAGCCCCTACTTCGCGCGTGCGTCATAGCTTGCAGGAAACCAAGCCTAGCTTGGCTCCTACTTCTTTCTCACGTTTTGGCAACAGAGCTGTATATCCAGCATTACTCACTCAAGACAAAGTTTGTTCATTAGACGGATTAAAACTCCGCCACTCTAGTCCTGGCTTCTATAAACAAATGCATCTGCCTCTAATGTTTCTCTTTCCTTAAGTGCTACTGCAGCTTCAGTGCCACCCCCCAGAACAAAACTTTTGAACCTGAGAAACCCCAATGCCTGGTGAGAAGAAGATGAGGAGCTTTAACTGAGTATTTAGCTGTAAGTATAGTACCAGCAGGCAAACTGTTGAGAGATTTGCAAAAACCCTCAGTATAAACGATACATTCGAAGAACTTGAATACAAATGTTCTCCATCAATGTGCGCATTTAGATGCAAAGCTTCTCCGCTTTTTTAAAATTCGCACAGCCAAAGCGGCGCGTTTTGAATTACTGGGCTCAACTGCGCGGCACATAATGCCTGGTTGCCCAAAATGCCATTTTGCACGGTAACAAGATTGGCTATTACACCAATCTTGGTTTCTTAATTACATTCATTCAAATGCAACTGAAGTGCTGCACATTGCACCACTGCCAGAGTGAAGGTAAGATTGACGTGGGCTGCAACAATGAAAATGTAATTGAAGAATTCAAAGATGGTCTGATTTAGAGAAAGGCGATATCCAAGGGCTTTACAGATGTCTGTGCATGCTTCTGAGCCAGGTGCTTCCAGCTTAGAAAAGCCGGAGGCATTTTCCGTAAGAAGGGATCGAAACCGTTTTGGCTACTTGTGCTTATTCTGAGTGACGGAACAGACAGATCAGACTATGTTCAAAGCTTGTAACAACAAGGTTTGAACATACTCTGATCTGGAACACTGAAGAAAAGATCTAGCGTGGCTATTTTCGACTCTCGTAGGCTTGCTATAGCCGTTTAGTGCCGCCATTCTGTGGCTTTGAGCTTCACCACTTATTTCAAGAAGGCACTGATGCAGTAGGCACTGGCGTCTGAGATGTTCGGCAAGTTCCCGAAACTTTTTTACTAGTTTTGAATCTGGCGGTGCCTGCAGCGCCATCTGTAGCACACTTGACGAAGTGATCCGGAATTGGGTGTTAGCTAGCACTACTGACGGCTCATTAAAAGCAATCCACCTCGCATTTTTCCCGATTTTTATTGTGTTCTGATCATTTTGAAATTTTGATTTTGGGGTGAGGAGTTTTCCGCATAAGCAGGTAACCCCTAGGAAGCCTCCGGCCAGCGCCGAAGGATCTTTCTTCTCATTGCTATGAGCTCTTTATATGTTTCAGAAAATAAAGAAAAGTTGAGTCGCTTTGTGATGTTTCGCAGCCTTGCTGCGGCCTGAAAAGTCAGCGAAGGTCATAGATTTTGAATGGATGAGAATTTAGGGGGTCTGTATAGCGTTTGGAATTTGTCCGGCTCCTCTTACTCTTTCTCAAAGATTGCTTACATGCAAAAAGGCTCAGCTAATCAGGAGGGAATAAGATGTAATGCGCCGCTTTTCCGCAAATCCTGAGAATTCGTGTGACGGAGAACATCTCAGCTCACTATTTTGTTTGCTGCCCCAAGTTCCACTAAAAACGATCCTGTATGGAATTTACTTGCAAAATGGCCCGCCTTGCAACAGTGGCCACTAGTAGAACAGTGGCTGCTTCTGGCAATTAGCGCATTTGATGCTTTGGCTGCTGCGAAAGAATCAGAGGGAAATGTGCTAAGCACACAATCTTTATGCCGCGGTTAGTAGAGAGCTTCTGGCTATTTGTAGGAAAGTGCAGGACTTGAGGTATAAAAGTGTAGAATTGCTTCAGTGCGAAGAGGCTAGCTGGGTCCTTTGCAGCTTCTTTGGATGACAGAGTGCGAGGTTACTAGGTGGGAGTTTTTCTCCAGACATGGCTAACTGTAGAACGCCTGCGCTGCAAATGATTTAGCGCAGCACGGGTTGCTCCAAATAACTTTTAAGAAAGTAAATTTGTACTCTGTGCATGCATTGTGTATTTATAGGCGTGGTTCACCGCAGTAGATTCAGACAGGGAAGCCCCACTCTGAGTAGCTTCTGTGTCTACAGACCCATAGATCTGCAAGTTCCCGAAGTTAAGAGTACTGCAGCCCAACGCTCCACTTGTAAGAAAGTGCGAAACAATGTGAAAAGCTGTCTGCAATGTTTCTTAGTGAATACTATGCAAGGAAAATGAAACAGAGAGAAGCATCACCAAAACTAAACCCGGCACTCAGCGTCAGCTCATGACACGGAGTGACATCCATGGCGAGGGTTGCTGCTGCTGCTGCTGCTGCTGCTGCTGCTGCTGCAACTCGGGTTGAAGTATCAGCGCTAGAGGGAAAAACAGGGAGCTTGCCGCTTAGCAGCAACACAAGATACAAGGACAAGAAGAGAGGATAACTTTTGCCTATCAAATCCCTCTCACAGAAATTAAAAATGTTGAAGAGCCGTGGCTGTAGAATTCGGAAAGTGGCACAAAATGTTGCTAGATAAAATCACATTACTAATTAATTTCGACAGATTCACCTTTGGGGCGCTACGCAGACAGACTTTTCCACGAATAAGAGTGCGGAATGAGTGTAGCCATCGTTGAAAGTAATACGAAATCACCATATATTCATCTGCCCATATGTTCATATTGATAGCATAACTTGATTTGTGATAAATGCTGAAGTGATGCACGTAACTGCTATGCACAACAGAGAGCCAAGTATGAGGTAAAGGTGTTTCTGACACGCAAGTTTAATTTGAGTCAAAACGGACAGGTGCGCGGGGCTTTTTCTTTAATAAGGCATGCTTAAATGTTGCACTATAAGTGTTTATACGCGTTGATGCAAGTGTGTACATGCTTGCGGCACTACCGACGAAAAAAATGCAATTTCTAAAAACAATTTACTGCAGTGTAGACAAAATAAAGCGCATCATCGAGACAAATTTGACTTTCTAAGAAAACAATCTAGATAGCCACTTGCGAAATCTAATCAAAGAATGCCAGGCTTTTGAAATGAGTCAGTCTCGTGGATGGCCCAGGCATGCATGCAGAAAATGAAATACAAATTCAGGATCAAAAGTGAATAGTACGAATCTAGGGGAATACAGAGGTATGTCTGTAATGTGTATGCATCGAAGTGTGTGCGTTGAACTCAAGTTGATGTGAATGACTTCATACATGCGTAAATGCACATATACATATACGCATATATGCAGAAGTAAAGAAGAGCATTAGAAACATTAAAATGCACGAAAATATTAAATTGCAGACGCCTGTGCATACATTCTACGCACACATTGTCCAACAGTGCTCTAGGATGTACGTTTACGCAAAGAGCCGGGCGCTGTCTTTGCCTGCCTTTACCCCTTTCTGTTTGTTTTCATTTTAATTTACTATTTCCTTTATCTCTGAGCATTTGATAGAAATTTGCCTCGTCTCATTTCTGCCCTGTTTGTGCTCATCCAGGGAGCCACCAGTAGCACAGAGGCGTGTTCGCAGGCGGTGGTAAACTTATGGGCATTGCAAGGATGAAAACATACTAATTTATTACTTCAAAAGAAGAAATCACCTAATGTTTTTTAATTAACATTTCATTGTGGTAGACCTTGGTATAGATCGTACCTGCCGCAGCAAGTCGTGCTGCAACTCAATGGCGGCTGCGGTGAGCTGGTAGACCACTGGTCATGTGGCTGGCATACGGTGTGCTGAGTTTCCCTTTGTATAGAAAACACCCAATTCTTGACTTTTCTTGCAAATAACATTTAATGAGTTAAATCTTAAGACGAAGCGCGCATGCCTCGGCACCACGCTGGGCCCCCGGATGGGGCCTCCGGCCCTCGATGCTATCTTGCCTCAGAGTCCTCGCTGGGGCCCCTGCCGCAGCAAGAAGCGCTTTCAGATGATACAGAAGCGCCTACATTGAAGTGGCTGAGGAGATCTAACCGTGCAGACCTCCGCAGGTTCGGTGTTGTGACCCACGCAAGAAGGGTCCACGGGCTGGAGTACCCCTTTCCCCCCAGGGCCCCCAAACCCATTATAAAGGTCCCTTCTGCCTTTAGACCAGCTGCAGCAGAGCCGTGGGCAGCCCCACAGACTTACTGGGGACACACACCCAAGTTGGGCCTAGCCGGGGCACTCGGGAAGAGCAGGGAAAGGCCAGGTAGCAGCAGCAGAACTAGCAGCAGCAGCAGCAGAAGCAGCAGCAGAAGCAGCAGCAGCAGCAGCAGGAGCGTCGAACGCACGGAGGTGAGACCGGAAGAGTGGCTTGCGTGCTGCGGCGGCTCGCGAGTGCAAATAGAGTTATTATTCAAAAATAGGAATACAGAGAAGGAGAGGCAGTGCCTTATGTAACGACTTATACAGTTAATTTAACAAAAACAAAACAGACTTTAAAACACAAATAAAAAGAAAAAGCAATACAGAGAGAGAGGATAGGCTAGGGAAAGACTCGAATGCTAGAAAGGTGATGAGACAATCGAACAAAAGGAAATAAAAGGGGACTGAGGGAGTTGGCAGAAAGCCAAACTTGAACAGAAGCAAAACGGACAGGGACGAGAACAGCAAACTGCGTAGTTTTGCTGCACTCTGCTGCTGCTCTTCATTTGCCTATAGTTTAGGGTTTGTGCATCAGCGCAGCATTTAGCTGCACAGTGATGGGTAAACTTTTGAGGTTTTAGGATTTCCAGATCAAGTGCTTTGTGTTTTTGGGGTCTCAGGAGTCTGTGGAGCTTACTGCTGAGCAGAAGTGGTTTGCTGCTTATGAGGAAAGCGCCAAGACTAGGCAGCAGCAGCAGCAGCAGCAGCAGCAGCGTCGGCGGCCCCCCGCAAAACCGCGAGCCGACTGGGGGCCCCTTGAGTCTATTTTATTTTCTCTAAAGCACTCCGCAGTGCACAAGGGGGCCCTTTCTGAAGTTGAAACTTTGCTGCTGTCCGCATCTGAGACGGAGAGCAGCAGCGGGGCCTTCTGGGGGGCCCCGGGGCACCACAGAAAGCCCCACTCCCCGCCTCTGGACTTGCTGCCTGCACTTAGCGAGGACGAGTTTCTGGGGGGCCCCGGGGGGCCCCGTTTAACTCAAGAAGCCCGAGAGCACTTGCTGCGTTTTGGTTTGGACTATGAAGAGGGCCCCAGCCTCAGCAGCAGGAAGCAGTGGGGCGTTTGGGAAAGAGAAAGATGGACAAGATCCCGGATGCTGAGGTACCTCATCAAGACCGAACAGGTGAGCCTGGAGTCTCAGATAAAATGCCAAACACTCAGCCTTTATTTATTTCAAGCTCAGAGCTCTGAAGATCTCATTGTTAACAATGCTCTCTACTGAATCGGAACTCAGAAGGCCCAGACTTTAAAGCCGAGGGCGTACAGATTGCCGTTAATAGCTGCGGGTCTAGCTGCAACAATTTGCTGTTCGGTGTTTGCTACTTCAGGTTGTTTTCAGAGAAGACAGCCTGAAAAGGCAGTTCAATGAAGACTACGAGAAATACGTAAGGAGCCGCCGCAGGCGTCGGGGGGCCCCCCGGCCCAGCGGTGAGGGGCCCCCCAGGGCCTCCCAAAGTATGCTATCTTCGGTGGAATGTGCTCAAGAAAAGAGCCTCCCAGGTTGGCCCCCAGGACAAGCCTTAAGGGGGCCCCCGGTGGGCTATTTTGTGCCCCCGGGTCATGGAAATGCCCCTGCGGGGGGACCCCATGCCAGCTTCCCACCGGGATGCTGGTCCAGTGGTCCACCAGGCCTAGCAGGTTACCCCATTGCGGGCCCCCCGACTCAGGCTTCCTCGGAAAGGAAAATGTCCCAAGAGCTGCTAGGACCAACTCCCCAGTGGCCCCCACAGGAGGCCCCCCAAAAGATCCCCCAGAGGCCAGCTCAATGGGCTCCAGAATATGCAAGAGCAATTGCCCCACCGTGGGCCCCACAAGGGGCTTTTCAGGATTTTCAGCGGCGGAGCTTATTGCGGGGGTCCCCGGGAAGGGCTGTAGAAGGGGAAGTTAAATGTGGAGTTATGCAAGCCCTATTAAGTCGTGGAAATGTAGACAAGGCTGTGGCTGTAGACAAAGAAGAAGGCCACGACGCAGAGCAAGACAGTGAAAGACAGTACAGGTCAAAACTGCCCTGGTGTTACCACTTCGAATATGAACAAGACCTTGTTGTCCAACCGAAACCCGTTGTGGAGACTCCAAAGACAAAGGCACCCACACCTCTGTTCGTGCATCAAGAAATGCATGCAAAACTCGAAGGTGAGGCTCTTTGTTTCGAGCAGGAAACCCGAAACCTTTTACCCGGGGCATTAAAATTCAAAAGGAACGGAAACACAGCATTGCGCTGCTGCTGCAGGGTCGAAGGAGGTTCAAAATGGTTTAGATGAACTAGCGAAATGTTTGCACCAGACAGCGATGCAGTGTCCCATTAGGGTTTGCGTTTTGGCTTTCTTTCTTACATGCAGCCGCTATGGACACTGAATTGATTCTTTTGTACGAAGCAGCAGAGGGAGACCTACCTTCACTTTTCTCTGGAAGAAGCAGACCAAAGTAAACTGCTGTTTCTGCTGCTGGTGCTGCTTGTGTTGCTGATTGGGTAGTAGGAACAGCGGCGAGTTTAATGTGACTGGGCCCGTGCTTCTGCTGCTGCTGATGCTGCTAGCAGTAGCCTCGTTTTAGTTTTTGTTGACTTTCGTGAAGCTGCTTTCGCTGTGATGCGGTTGTTCAGCCGACGGAAACACCCAAAAGACAAGATCGTATCGTTCGATCGACTACGGGAATTCGGGGCCTACATTAACGACATTACATCTTGCAAGCTGCTGCAGCAGGTGACGTGGCGCACTTTCTCGTGCTGTTTTGCTGCAGCTTTGCTGCAGCTTTGCTGCAGCTTTCCTGCAGCTTTGCTGCAGCTTTGCTGCTGTTTAGCAGGTGCAGCTGTGACCGTTGAGGTGGTGTGGCCGCTGCGCCGTTAACACCAACCTCACCGTCTTCAGCAGAATGATCGGCAGCAAGACGTCAGAGCAACAGCTGCAGCAGCAGCTGTGTACGGAACATATGAGCTTGAATTGTGTTTGTTGAGCAGGAAGTTGATGAGGAGCTTTCTGATGGCTGGGCGTTTGGAACCACCGCCCCGGCAAACATTCACATGGATCCTCCCCGAGGAGTGCGAGTTAACCCGAATTATGTTTTGACCAAAGAAAAAATCGAAGCTGCTGCGAAGAAGCTGCATATGGAACCCAAAGAGCAGACGCCGGAGTTTCAAAGCCTCGAAAAAAGAAAAAGGCTTCAAATCGAAGAAACAACGAAAGTGCTGGGAGGAGGCAGATATGTCGTCTGATCCTTTCCAGTGCCTTCTGCTGCCGGTGAAGATTATTCGCAACTTCACTTCAGCGGCGCTCTCGTGGCGCGTCTGCTGCAGCGTAGCTGCAGCAAACGCGGCGTCTATGCTGCAGCGGTATTTGCTGCAGCTGCGCTGCAGCACACGCGTCACCGAGTTCTCTCGAGCTGCCTCAGAAAAAACTGGCGACGTGTGGGGCCCGTAACAAACCAGCAGCTTTCCAGGGATAAGAAATGAACCCTCTGTTTTCTTCTGGGTGTGAAATCGGAACTTTCCAGCTTCCGTGCATGCCTTTTTGCTGCTGGTACTTTCGCTGCTACTGCTGCTTCCCTTCACAGGCAACTCTTTAAGAATACGGTCACGCCAGCAGCCACAGTGCATGCCTAAGGCAAGCGCGGCGGAAGCCGCGGCAGCAGCTCTTTGCAGAGCTTGCGGCTGCACCTAGCAGCAACAAATACCTCATTGTTTTTTATTTACTGTGGAAGGAGGAAATGAAGTTTGCAAACATGATCCTGTAGTTCCTCCCTTTCTCTGTTGCTGGGGAGTCAACCCTGTGCAAGGCTTTATACTGCATTTCTTGGGCTTCAGGCTTCGGGCTTAGAATCTTAAAGCTACGGGGTAGGGGGCTGGAAGCAGATACGCACTTTAGCGTCCTTCCAACTTTGAATTAGTTCCAAAGCAACAAAAAGAGCACTAGCAGAAACAGCAGCGCCTTTCATCCTAAACTGGCAGCAGCAGAGCTGCGGTTGCTGTTTGAAAACGGCAGCTCCAGCCGCAGCAGCCAGCTACGCTTCCTATCTGCCAAAGCCGAGAGTCAGAAGTACCAACTCTTAAGTTAAGCGCAAAAAACGAGTGCTATAAAAGGCATTTTACATATAGTCTGCATTCGCACAGAATCAGCAGCAGAAGCTGCAGCAGCACCAGCGGCAGCAACTCCAATCAATACCACAGCAGCAGCTGCTGCTAATAGGCGTATCGCTGCGCGTGACCTTGGTTGTATTCATGAAACTTTTAAAAAGATGCTGTTGACGCTGGTAACCGCAACTGCAGCTTGCAGCACTGAGTAGTATTGCAGCACGAGCTGCTGCAGCACGAGCTGCTGCAGTACCACTCAGTGTTGAATGCCCTGCTGCAGCTGCTGCACCAGGTCGTAAGCCCTTGTCGTGAATGATTGGAGAGCTTCTCTTATTTTTGTCTCCATGAAGGCAGCGGCTTGCAGCGGAGACAGGTGCAGTTGAAAACGGGACCTGTACAGAAACCCTAAACCCTAAACCCTGAACACTACACCGTTTTGGCTCCCGATCTACTCGAAAGCATGAAGATATGCCCAAATTGGAGCACCACAGGCCTCAGGTGTAAACCCTAAACCCTAAAATCTGAGAACTAAACCCTAAAAGCAATAGGCTGTAATAGGCACCTGAGGTTTTCTACGGCAGAGGGTTTAAAGCAGGCCATTCGAGAAAGCTGCATTGCATCAAAGAGGGCAATGAAGTCGTCCGCTTGCTCCCGCAGCACCAGGAACCTAAGCAGCAGAAGCAGAAGCAGCAGAAGCAGCAGCAGCAGAAAGAGCCACAGATTATAAAACGTCCACTTCGGCAGAGTAGAATCCCTTACAAGTCGAAAATGAAGGAGAAATGAAAATAAAAAAGAACAGCCACCGACAAATGAAAATTAACGAAAGTCAAAAAAGATCGAGTTGCAGCAAAAGGCAGGAACGCATGAGCAGCAGCACGTTGCCGCTGTGGCGGTCATTGAACTGACGTCCAGCGCAGCAGAGCCGCAGCCGCTGCTGCTGCAGCAACAGTCGAAGCAGCAGCAGCAGCAGCAGCGGGAGCAACAGCAGCAGGAGCTCACCCGCGGATGCATTTGGTGGAGAAGTCCCTGAAGAGCACGCCGTGTTCCTTGCCCAGGAGATTGGCCATTTCCGCAGTGAGTTTGAAAGGAGCTCTTTCGAAGGCCATATCTCCCCCAGGTGACATCGCCAGCATAAAGCCAAAGTCGATGTGCAGCAAACGCCCCGAACGCACCGACAGCAGCACGTTCCCGTTGTGCCGGTCTTTCACCTGCACCCCACCGCAGTGCAGCAGCAGCGGGAGCAGCAGCAGCAGCAAGCAGCAACGGAAGAAAGGAAACGAGGAAAAGGGGACAAAATTAACAAAAGGAATGAGGCAAATACGACGCAGCGCAGGCTCAGAAGCGTAGAACGGACAGCAGCAGAGGCAGCAGCAGCAGCAGCAGCAGCAGCAGCTCGCACCTGCAGCAGGTAGCTGAAAACAGCATACGCAGCTAAGGAGTCGGCGAAGTTCTGTGTTGCAACTTCCAAAGGTATGCGGCTAGGCCTTTGGCTCAGGAGCAGCTCTTCCTGCTGCTGCTGCTGCTGCGGGCTTCCCACAGGTTGTTGCAGCGCTGGCTGCAGTTGATGCTGTTGCTGCTGCTGCAGCTGCTGCAGCTCGTCAATATCACTATCCTCGGTGCCTCCTAAAAATTGTCTGCTATCGGCCAGTCCCACTGGAGAACCCCTGCCTGCAGCTGCTGCTGCCGCTGCCGCAGCAGCAGCAGCTGCTGCTGCTGCCGCTGCATTTCGCGGATCTCCGTCGGCCGCCAATGTCGCTGTGGCGCTGCGTTTGAGACTGCTGCGTCTGCTGCTGCTGCTGCTGCTGCCGACTCTGCTGCCCCTAGGAAAGGCCAGCGTAAAAAACTCAACCAAAGAACAACCAAAAGTCTTTCCAATCTGGTGGCGGCTGTAGGCATTGTCGACAACAGAAACGGCCCCCCCAAACTGGCAGCCTGTGCCTCGCCCTCTTGCTGCTGCTGCTGCAGTTGCTGCTGCTGACGACTGTGACGCTACTGCAGCAGATGATGAGGCTGCCACTGCTGTTGCGGATGGAAAGTCTGCTGCTGCCGCAGAGCCTGCTGCGCCTTTAGCACCAGCAGGCGAATCGGATGGGAGCCCGTCGGGCACTACAGGCAGGCTGCTGCTTTTGCTGCTGCTGCTGCTGCTGCTGTCAGCAGGAGCGGCTGCTGCTACAGACTCTGCCGCATCTGTTGCGGAAGAACTGGGAAAGCCGTGAGCCGTGTCACAGTTGCTGCTGCTGCTCCTGCATCGTTGCTGCTGCTTCTGCTGCTGCTGCCCTGCTGTATCTGCCCTTTGAATGACAGCAGTGACGCCGTAGGGCCGCAGCCAAGAAGATTCCCCAGCTAGCGTTAGCGCGGACAGACACATCTGCAGCAGCAGCAGAAGCAGCAGAAGTAGCAGCAACAGCAACTGCATTGTTGCTCCTGGACTTCTTTGCAAAGCCAACAGCACAGGCAAGACAGCTGCAGCAACAGCGGTAGCTGCCTCGTCCCAGACTTAGACAAGGTAGCTGCAGCACTGCACCAGAAGATTCAGCCGCAGCTGCAGCAAGAACTCAGCAGCAAAGCCAGCAGTAGCAGGAATGGGTTCAGCACCCACGGAGCCGTCCACAGCAGCAAACAAAGACACAACACAGGCCGAACGGCAGCAGCACAAACGAGCGTTTTGAGGCAACAACAGCAGAGCCGAACGCAGGAGCAGCAACAGCACAGTACACAGCAACGGTAGCAGCAGCAGCAGCAGCAGCAGCAGCAGGTGTTAAGACGAACCCTAGTTGCCTGTACGGCGAGTGCGTCTTGCTGCAGGTCGTCAAGCAGTTTAAAAATGCAGGAGCGCTTATCTGCGCCTCCAGCAGTTTCAAAAGACAAGAGGAAGGGAGCCTAAAGAAGAGCAGCAGACACTTCATGTTTGCTTCGTTGCAGCTGCTGCTGCTTCCGCTCTCCGGCTCTAATTCTCGCTCAGTGTCTGTTTTGAGAGGCTCTGCGCTGGCCTGTGCCTGCGCTTCGCCTTATGTCTCGAGGAGCGCAGCGCTTGCAGCAGCAGCAGCAATGCTTGCAGCAGCAGTAGCAGCAGTAATGCTTGGAGCAACAGCAGCAGCAGCAATCCTTGCAGCAGCAGCGGATGCACCAGCAAAAGGGCAGTCGCCGCAAGCAGAGGGCGAGTAGCAAGAATCAAAGAGAAAGAAGCAAAAAGACACAGAAAGACAAGGAGAAGCAAAGGTGAAAGAACAAGAAAAGACAGAAGAGAAGAAAACGGCTGAGAGAGTAGCCTTAAGAGGCCCGAGAGGCAGACTGACAGATATAGACAGGAAGACACAGATGCAATTGAAAACAAAAGAAAAAAATAAAAAAAGCAAGAAAAGGAGAGAGCAAGAAGCAGACAGACACAAGAAACCGCTGGCAGGTAGCAGCAGCAGCAGCAGCAGCAGCAGCAGCAGCAGCAGCAGGCACCTTCACTGCTGATTGCATCGCCTCTGCCGACTCAGGCAACGGCCGGGCAATTTTGACTTCTTCTGTCAGCAGCCAAAAGCCCTCGCACGGCATCGTCTTCTGCGTGCACAACCGCAGCAGCAGCAGCAGCAGAAGCAGCAGCGTCAGCAGCAGAAGCAGCATCACCTGCAGCAGTAGCGGCAGCAGCTGCAGCAGCAGCAGCATCAGCAGCAGTATCACCTGCAGCAGCAGCAGCGACAACAACAACAACACATGGCGAAAGCAATCGGCTGAGATGCTGCAGCAAATGCAGAATTAAGAAGCTCTTAGGGTTTGGGGTTTACCTGCAGCTCTCGAATTCGCTGCACAAAAAAGGCCTTACGCGCAGATGGGGGAAGGTTCACTGCTTGCCCACTGACAGACGCAAAACGGCGCGCAGCACGAAACCCTAAACCCTAAACCCTAAACCCTAAACCCTAAACCCTAAACCCTGATGCTATGACGAGGAAACACACAGAAATCCCGACAGTGGGACAAGTACAGAAAAAACGAAAAGCGAAGAAGACGGAGGCAGTAGCAAGTAGAAAAAGGAGACAGAGAAAAACGGGAGACGCGGACAAGGTTTAGGGTTTAGGGTTTAGGGTTTAGGGTTTAGGAACGGTGGCAGAGCTTAGGGCGTAGCGGTCAGAGGCAAAGAGCCGCAGCGCATGCGAGCAGCAGCAAATAATGCCCCATTTGGCAGCAGCAAAGTTTTGCTGCTGCTCACCTCAGCCCTATAACAGTCTTCCAATACTGCAGCTGGCGCTCCAAGTAATCGCGAGCTCCCGCGCCCATCAAACGGAGCAGCTCCCACTGCAGCAGCAGCAGCAGCAGCAGCAGCAGCAGCAGTTCCTACTGCAGCGGAACAAGTGCAGCAGCAGCTGCTGCTGCAACAGGGGCAACTCAACACCCCTCACTGGCTGTGGGAAGCAGCAAAAGCTAATGAAGCCCTGAAGCCAAGATTTGCTACAGCAGATTTCTTGGTTTCAGGCCCTAATTTCTTAACTCCAAACCCTCGGACCCCAACGCTAGACGCCAAACCCTAAACCCTAAACCCTCAGCTGCAAAGCTCCGCTGTTGCCTTACTCGCAGCTGCTTGGCTTTTGCGGCGAGGGGGTCGCTGCCCTCTAGCTGCAGCAGCGCAGCAGCAGCGACAAAGCGGAAGAGAGTGCAGCAGCAGCAAAGCAAGAGGGCCCGGAGCAGTTAAAAAGACCAAACAGAGAAGCAGCAAATGTTGCACTCAAAAAGAGCCTGACAGCTGCAGCAGGCGGAGGGAAAAGCTCTCACAGCGAGCAGAGCAGCAGCAGCAGATTGGACCGCAGCAGCAGCAGCAGCAAGGCGGGGTCTCAGCAGCTAAGGACGGCAAAAAGACCATTTTTTCCTTGAATGCACATAATGCCATATTTAAAATGTAACTTAGCAAAAATTATTTATTGGCTAATATGAAGCAGCAGCAGAATTACGTGAAACTTCTTACATTCGCAGCAGAGTCAATCTGCATGGCCAGCGACAGCTGCCTGTAGGTGCATTTGTCTCTGTCTTTAAGTCCGCCGCCTTGCTGCTGCTGCTGCAGCGGGTGGTGCTGCTGGTGGCTGCAGAAGTCAGCAATAAGGGCAACCTCCAGAGCTCTCCCCGGGTCTACGCGAAGCGCCTGCAGCAGCTGGGGCTGCAGGAAAGAGAACAGATGCTGCTGCTGCGTCACCTGTACTTTGCTGCTGCCGCTATGGCTGCTGCTGCTGCTGATGCTGCTGAGCATGAGCACCTGACAGGCTGCAGCACGCAGAATCTGAATAGGGCCAACAGCCGCAACCTCACTGACAGCAGCTGATTTGTCTATGCTGCGGCGCCTGTTGTTGTTTGTGCGGCTGCTGTTGCTGCTGCTGATGCAGCAGGCCGCCGCAAGGGCTGTTGCCGTGCTTTGCTGCAGTAGCAGCAGCAAACCATGAACGGGCAAAGAGTTGGAACAGTAAAGAAGAGAACGTATGACCAGACCCAGTGCCGGCAGAGGCCGCACCTGCTGCGCGTGCTGCATTTGCTGCTGCTGCTGTTGCTTGTGGCGCTGCCGCTCCTTCTGGGAGGGCTGCGGTGTCTCTGCAGCAGGCCCGTAAATGTGGCTGTTCCCTGCTACGAGTGAAGGCCGTATACAGTCCACCACCTGTTGCTGCAGCAGCAGCAGCAGCAGGCGCCACAGAGCAGCAGCACCACCGGCAGGCGTTTGCTGCTGCTGCAGCAGCACCTCTCTCACTGCCAGCGTGGGGTCATCTGCTGCTGCAACGGCAGCAGCACATGTCTCGCTGCATCAGATCACACGCAACAAATCAGCTGCTAAATCGCTGTGCTGTGCTGCGGTTGCTGCAACACTTTGACGTTGCTGCGGCTGTATAATTGCTGCTGCGGCGACTCAGAAGCGACAGCTGTGGCTGCTGCAGCACGAGCAGCAGCTCAAACCGTCTTGGTAGCTTACGCAGCAGCAACAAAGAAGGGAAAAGCTTGCAGTCGTTGAGCTGCTGCAGCAACAAGAGACACTGGGGCATCCAACAGCATGTTTGCTGCTGCTGCTGCTGCTGCTGTCGCTCCACCCGCGGCTGCTGCAGAGTCTGTGCTCAGCTCTCTGCGTCTCTTCTGCTTCCTTTTCGGCCCCTGCGTCTGTTTGTCAGCTGAGGCACCTCTGCTGCTGCTGCTGCGCCTGACTGCTGCTGCTGCTGCTGTCGCTGGTTGCTGCTGCAGAAGGCGTCGAAGCAGCCACAAGTCCCTGTGTGGAGCAACTGCAGCAGGGGGCCACTGAACTGCCGAAGCAGCACAGGATGCAGCATCCGCTGCTGCACGCATTGCAAGCTCCAGTATATAAAGCCTATGAGGTGTGACACTTTCTACGGATGTACTAGTGCTGCTGCTGCCGCTGCTGGCAGCCTGAGCTGCTGCTGCGGCTCTTGCTTCCACCGCAACAGATGCTGCTCCAGCGGCCGCTGCAGTTGCTTCTGCTGCTGCTGCTGCATCAGCAGCAATTTGCGGCACGACATAGCAAAAGGCCGCGGCAAGGCGCTCTATTTCCTCTAGCAGCAGCAGCCGTAGAAGCGCAGCAACAGGGGGGGCCTTTTGTTTAATGACGCATGAGTTGCTGCAGCTGCAGCAAGAGCTGCTGCTGCTGCAGCCAGGAACACCAGCAGTGGGTAGTTGCTGCCGGCGCGATACACGTTTGGTGCTGCTGCAGCAATTAAAGCAACCCTTGGTTGATTCGCTGCAGAGAGTGCTGCAGCACTTGCTCATGCGGCAGCTGCAGCAGTTCCTGCAGCAGGTGTTCCTTTTGCTGCTGCTGTCGAGCTTAATCGGCTCTAGTATGTCTGCAATGAAGGCCATTGACTCCGCAAGGCTCGCAAGTCGCTGCTTGGGGGAGCAGAAGCACGCGCGGCTGCTGCTGCTGCTGCTGCTGCCGCTTGGGCTTCTAGTTGGTGCTCGCCAAAACGCACCTGCAGGGAGAGCAGCAGCCGCAGCAGCTGCAGCAGCTCCTGCCGCTGCTCTGACATCAGCGCATTCACACGGGCGCAGCCAGCCTTCCTTCGGTGGGCGCTGAAGGAAGCAGCAAACTGCAGTGTATGTACACCGCAGCAGCAGCAGCCGTTGCATGTGCGCGCCAGACACCGCCCCTTTACCACGCAGCAGCGCCTGTTGCTCAGCAGCAAATGTGCTGTTGCACTGCAGCAGCAAGTGCTGAATGGAGGCTCCACCCTGGAGGGCCAAGCAGCAGGCCGTGCCGCGCTGCTGCTGCTGCTGTGGACAGCAGCAGCAGCAGCAGCAAGCAGCTGCAGAAAGGCAGCAGCGAAGGACTGTGAAGAGCAGCAAGGCGCTGTCCAGCCGCCCCGCAGAAACAGGACCCCCAAGAATGCTGCTGCGCTGCAGCTGCTCCAGCCCTAGCTGCAGAGTCGCCGTGGCACCGCTGCGCGCCGCAAACTTTGACAGCAGCAAGTAGGCCAGAGGGAGGGACAGTGTCGCTTCTGCTGCTGCTGAAGCCGTGTTGCTGGCGCAGCTGCTGTCTCTGCTGCAGCAGCAGGGCCCGCTGCTGCTGCTGCAGTCGTCTGCGGAGGCGTCGAGCAGCTCAGGCAAGTCTGATTCTCCAGCAGCAGCACGAGCGCCACCAGCAGCTGCTGCTGCTGTTGATGGCCCTGCTGCGCGGCCCCACATTTGAGTGGCTAGGGTTTCTAAGCTGTAGCGAAGCGTGCTGCGCCTTGTGCTCGCGTGCTGCTCCTGCAGCAGCAGCTGCTGCTGGTGGAGCAGCTGAAGCTGCGCAGCAAAGGCTTCCCTCTTCCCCCCGCAAGCGCGGTGGCCCTGCTGCACGACTTTGTCTTGCGGCTGCAACAGCAGCCGCTGCTGCTGCAGCAGCAGCCCGGGTAGATCTAACTGCCGCGACATGTTCTGCAGCAGCTCGTCTCGCCACTGCTGCATGTGCAGCAGCGGCCCGTAAGCTGCAGCAGCAGCACAACTTGTTTGGCCAGCAATGCGCAGCAGCAAATCCGGAGAAGGGCCTACGGGGCTGTCGAGGGCAGCGCTAGAAAACGTGGGTATCATTGCTGCTGCTGGGATTTGCTGCTGCAGCAGCAGCAGCAGACATTCGCCTTCCGCGCACGCATGCTGCTGCTGCTGCAGCGCTCGCTGCGCCCCAGATATCCAACACGCCCGCAGCCAGTCCCAGCCATTCCCTGTTGGTGCAGCTGCTGCTGCTGCTTCACTTGGTCGGCCGCAGCAGCAAGACTGCAGGTGAAGCGGCCCCTTTGCAGCAGCAGCAGTCACAGCCAGTGCAGCAGCAACAATTCCTGCCCACAGCCACGCCACGGCCCAAGGCATACCCTGTGTAGTCACCTGCAGCAATTGCTGCTGCGGCTGCTGCAGCAGAAGAAACGTCCCGTCTCTGAAAGCAGCTGCAGCAGCTGCTGCAGCAACCACGCATGTGCGCTGCAGCGCTGCTTCAGAGCCTTGAAGCCCTCTGAAAGAGCTGCTGCGGCTCGAGTACAGTTGCTGCTGCTGCTGCTGCTGTCGCTTTTCCTGCTTTTGCAGAGTAAGAAGAGCCGACCCCCACAGTTCTGCTGCCAGCAGCACCACTGCCACCGCAGTTCCAAAAGCAGCTACTGCTGCTGATCCTGCAGCTGCTGCTGCTGTTGCTGCGCGAGGATTCCTTATATCCTGTGCTGTCTCGTGCGTGGTCTTGACTGCATGGGACGAGTTATCTGCTGCTGCATCTTCTGCTGCTGCTGCTGCCTCAAAATCGGGCGTTTGATGCTCATGAGCTGTCTCGCTCTTGTTCAAAGAACGCTGCTGCTGCTTAGCAGCAATAGTAGCAAATGCAGCAGCAGCAGCTCGCTGGGGGCTACTGTTGCTGCTGCAGCTGAACAGCGGCACGAATGCTTGCGACTGCTGCTGCAGCAGCAGCTGAAGCCTCGTCAACTCCAGTGTTGCGCTCCGTACAGTAGCAGCAGACTGGAAAATCTGAGGCACTTTTACCTGTAGTAGCAAAGGTGCAGCAGCAGCTGCTGCTGCTTCGGAACACTTCCCCGATCTGCTGAAAGACTCTCGCAGCAGCATCAGCCAGCAGCGCTGCAGAAGCTGCTGCTGTGTTGACCGTGCAGCAAGAAAAGCAGCATTAAGGGCTTGCTGCTGCTGTGTCGGGAGCTTCGGTTGCAGCGACTTGAGTTGCTGATGCTGCAGTTGCTGCAGTTGCTGCAGCTGAGCTGCCACATCTGGTTGCAGCTGTCGCCACTCGCTAGTCGCTGCTGCTGTTGTTGCTGCTGCTGCGTCCTCTCCGGCCGCCAGAGAGCGTCGGCGTGCTGCAGCAGCTCCTTCTAAAATTAGCAGAAGCAGCTCCAGAGACAGCAAATGTACTCGCTGCTGCAGCAGCGGGGTCTCTACTATATAGTTTTCTTCGGTTTCTACCAGCTGCTGCTGTTGTTGCTGCTGCAGCTTCTGTTGATGCAGCTCCTGCTGCTGCTGCTGGTCCACATCAACGAGTAGAAGAGCGCCAAAGAGACAGAGCGCCAGTCCAGCAACTCCCTTCGCAGCCCATGAGTGCAGCAGCTGCTGCAGCAGCAGCTGCAGCAGGGCAGTGGAATTCGGAGGCGTATCTTGCTGTTGCTCCTTGACATGTTCGTCTTGCTCGTCCTGCCCCTTGTGGCCTTGAAGTAGCTGCTGCTGCTGCTGCTGTCGCAAGAACGGCAGCTGCTGCCTTTGCTGCTTCTCTTCTTTGGAGAACAGCAACACAAAAACCTGCAAAAAGTACACACAAGGGCAAATCCGCTGCTTCGCAGAGTGGCACTAAACTCAGCCACTGTCACAAGCCAATATCAGGCCATCAGCAACACCAGAAGCTTCCACAGCAGCAGCAGCAGGCTAAGAACCAGCAGCAGCAGCAACAGCAAAGGCCCACCTGCAGCAGAGCCCCCACGAAACTGCTGCTCTGCGCTGCAGCCGGAACAGCGTCAAGCAGCTGCTGCAGCAGAGATGTGATTGCGGCCGGGGCAATAGGGAAGGGCTCCTGCTGCTGCTGTTGCTGCTGCTGTTGCGGCTGCATGCACCCGAAGTTCCACCGTTGCTGCTGTGGCGGCTTCGGGCTGCACCTCACAGCAGCAGGAAGCAGCAGCAGAAGAGCCACAGCCCCCTACAGCAGACAGCAGCGCATGCAGGAGCTAGAGCTGCAAAACAGTAAGGTTTTCGAATTTCCTTTGGCGCCAGCAGCAGGATTAGCAGCAGCAGCAGCAGCAGGAGCAGCAGCGGCAGACGGAGCTGACGGCGGCGCGGTAGCCCCGCGTAGCTAAATGAGCAGCAATAGCATCAACTGCAGCAGGAGTATCAGAAACCACAGCAGCAGCTGCTGTACCTCTGCGACAGCTGCTGCCTCTGGAGTGCATGCGCAATAGGAACTACTGCCGCTCCGCCTGCTGCAGCTGCTGCATAAGGCAGCAAAGCAACTCCTACTGCTGCTGCTGGCCGAACCGTTGCTGCTGCTGCTCCCAGCGACAAGCGCTTGAGCCCACCGCTCAACCGCTAGCACTAAAGCCTTCCCTGTGGCGCCAGCAGCAGCACAAGCAGCAGTTGAAGCAGCAGCAGCAGACAGCTGAATTCTCCTGCTGCAGCTCGAAGCGCTGACACTGGGTTCATCTGCAGTGCAGTAGAAACTGCAGCAGCAGCACCAACCGCAGCAGCATTTTATGTTTACGCACATTTAAGAACCTTCTTGGCCTCCTGAGCAGGGCTAGCAATGCCGTTACTTGTGCTGCTGCTGCTGCTGCTGCTGCTGCTGCTGCAGTCCGTAACTGCATGAAGGCACCGCAACGCCTCACAGGCGCTGCCGCCGCTCTGCATCGCAGCAGCGCCAAAAGGAAAAGGAGCAGCAGAAAAGTCGGCACAAGCAGATCCAGATAGACTCCAATAGGCAAATGCAAACAGCTGAAAAGTAAAGAAGTCAGTATCAGACAAAGCAGAACAGCAGCAGCAGCAGCAGCAGCAGCAGCAGCCGCAGTGATGCGGTATGTACCGCTGCTCTTTGACAAGCAGAAGCGAACGTTGCTGCCAAAGCGCATGTATCTGCAGCCTGCTGCAGCCTTCGCTCGGCGTGACTTTGGGAAGGGTCCTCCTGCTGCTTCGGCTGTTCTTGCTGCTGCTGCTGCTGAAGCAGCTGTAACAGGGGACGGGGCAACGAGCTAGCAGCAGCATCCGCTGGGAGGTGAGTCTGCAGCAAACGCAGCAGTGCCAGCAGCAGCAGCAGCAGCAGCAACAGCGGCTGGAGACGTCGTCCGGCTCAGAGAGCTGATATTTGCAGGGTGAGCTACAGCAGCAAAGACAGCAGCTGCAGCAAAGCAAAGGGCAGCAGCACTGCATGCAGCGAAACTCACATGGGCAGCATCACCACTTACAAAGCTGCTGCTGCGCAACATGAAGAAATGGCTTTCAACTACGGGGCCTGTTAATAGGCTTGCGGTGTGTAGCAGCGCGCGCAGGACCTCCCTGTGCTGCTGCTGCTGCTGCTGCTGCAGATGAGAATGCTTCTGCGGCTGCTTGTGCTGCTTTTGCTGCTGCTGCTGCTGCCTCCTCTCCCCAGCTGAATTACATTCAATGTCAGCATGGAGTGCAACATTGAGCCACAGCTGCAGACAAAGCCACACAAAGGCAAAAAAGCTGCTGCTGCTGCTGCTGGCAACGCTTCCACAGTGCTGCTACTGCAGGGGTAGTAACGGTGCTGGCTTACGTCTGCAGCAGCTGCTGCAGCCGACGGAGCATAATACGGAGCGTGAACGGAACAACAAGCTTGGTAGTGCTGCTGCTGCTGCTGCTGCTGCTGCTGTCCGCAGATGACAAGGGCGCGGCCCAAGTGCAGCAGCTCGTGTCGAAGTCGCAGAGCAGCAGGTGCTGCAGCAAAACAGGGGCCCACCGCGAGTGCATGCAGCAGCAGCAAAATCAGCGAAGTAGCTGACAGGGGCAGCAGTCCCAATCAGGAGAGGCAAAACAGCAGGAGCAGCAGAGGGCGGCATCACCAGCAGCAGCAGCAGCAGCAGCAGCAGGCCAAGAGCAGTGCCTGGGTTAATGATGCAGCAGGCGCAACACCACAAATAGCTCGCAGAAGCAGCTAGCATCCGCAGCAGTACCAGAGTAGCAGCAACCGCAGCAGCAGCAGCAGCAGCAGCAGCGCAAGGAGCAGAAGCTCCAGCAGCAGCAGAAGCAGCTCTGTAAGCTGACATGCCGGGTGAGTCTTGGAGTGGCCTTTGAAACTCCAATGAATTCTCAGGGATACATCCAGCCCTAGAAAAAACAGCCTGAAGCAGCCACAGCAGCAGCAGCAGCAGCAAGAACAGCAGCAGCAGCGCTACATCATATTTAACAAGTTGGCTCGATCAACCGATTCTATCGGTACTGAAAGCAAACTCAGTAGTAGGCGGTGAAAACAGCAGTGCATGCAAAGATGCAGCAGCTGCAGCAGCAACAGATGTACCAGCAGCAGGACCAGCAATGGCAGCAGCAGCAGGTGCAACAGATGCAACGGCAGCATCCGCAGAAGCTGCAGCAGCTTACTGTGTGAGAGTGGATCGGAAAGATAAACACAAAACGTGTCCTGCTGCAGCTGCTGCTACTGCTGCTTCAGCTAGCACCGTAAGGCAATGGCAGCAAATGGCAGCGCTCGCTGCAGCTGCTGCTGCTGCTGCTGCACGTTTTTCTGCTGCAGTGACGAATGCGCCTGTAGCAGCAGCAGCAATATCTCCTAATATCGAGGACCTAGCTTCGCCATACGCGGTGTCTGTCCGCTGCTGCTGCTGCTGCCTGCGCGACACAAGCTGCTGCAGTTTGTGGCTGCTGTTGCTGCTGCCTTCAGCAGCCGTGTGCGGCTCCTGCTGCAGTAGCTGCAGGAGGAAGCACGCGCCAATGCCTCTTGCGAGAGTTGAGCCAGCGGCCTCCCAGAGGCAGGGCGTCGGTGTTGTTGCTGCTGCTGTTGCTGCTGTTGCTGCTGCTGCTGCTCCTGCGTTCAAAAGAGACGTTGCAGCTTCTTCTGCTGCGACTCGCAGAGAATCCGCAGTGAGGGATATCATAAAGGTTGCTGCTTTGCTGCTGCGGCTGCAACAAGAGCAAGAACAACCCTTGAGGGCTCTTGCAGTTGCTGCTGCTGCGGCGGCGGCTGCATGCAACGCCGCATGCTGCTGCGCATGTCTTTGCTGTTGAGAAGCCAGGTCAGCTGCAGCAGCAGCAACAGCAAAAGACACTTCTTCTGGAGCGCGCTTATGCCTGGGGCCTGCTGGTGCTGTGGCTGGAGCCGCGAAAGCTGACACCAGCTGCTGCTGCACTGTCCCCAGCAGCAGCAGCAGCGAGGGCTGCGGCAGGAGCTGCAGCAGAAGCAGCTGAAGTGCATGCACACACACCACATGGCGCAAGAGGAGTTTGCTTACTGCAGCAGCAGCAAAATGAACAGCAAAAAGAACAACCAGAGCAGCACCAGCAGCAATGGCAGCATTCCAGCATCAGGTAATGAGGTGTTCTGTGAGTACGGCCTAGACTACGAGTTTTTGCTGACGGCTGTAGCTGCTGCTGCTGATTCTGCCGTTGCTGCTGCTGCTGATTCTGCCGTTGCTGCTGCTGCTGCTGCTGCTGTAGCTGGCTACGCGTAAGTCGATCTTGCGCCTACGTCAACAGGTGCAGCACTGATACTCGGAGCCTTCCATCCGCCTTCCGGATCCTGCTGTTGCGGCTGCTGCTGCACTTGCAGCAGCAGCTGCAGCTGCTGCTGCTGCTGCTGGCGAGAATGCAGCAGCTGCAGCATGAGGGACAAACAGCGGGCTTCTTGCTGCCGCATAAAAAGCGCACAAATGTCTCCAAGCTGTGCTGCAGTCACGTCCGACTTGTACCGCATGCTGCTGCTGCTGCACTCAGCAGCAAATTCCTGCAATGCGGAGTCGGCCTGCAGCAGCAGCC